TCAGTGCCTCTCCATATTAAACTGGTTAAATGTAAATTAATTTAATCTTACCCTGCGGTACATGAACAGTGTTGATCCTGGATGTTGTCACCTGCGACTGTGATTGTGACGACCGTAATGAGGCTTCTCCCGCTTGAAAACCCTTGCTTCCAAATTAATCTTGTTACCCACCATATTTATTTTAAAAAATTTATATATACCGCCATGCCATATTTAAGTCTCACTTGAATGGTGGTCCTTCTGTGTTCAAAATTGATCAAAAACATTGTGGGACAAGGTTTTCACACTGACAGCAGTCATTGTAAAAGACAGTTAGCAACTCCATTTGTTTGTCTGAGTGAGCAACAGTAACTAAGGGGGCTTACCGATAGATCAATTCTTATTTTTTGATGTGATATTGCAGTGTGTTGTTTTTTTATAAATTATTTATCCGTGCATTCCTGATGGACAAAGTCAAGTCCCGCCCTATGTTTTTTTTTCTCTCGTTTGATAAGCCGTTTTTCTCAGACATTCACAATATGGAAAAATGTGAACTTCCATTTCATGCCAAATTTAAAACCTAGTTAAATGCATGTTTAACATTCATCTTTAATTTATCCGGTTTAAATCCCCACATCACTTTTATCTATCACAGCCTGTGTAATGTACTTTAGTTTTTAGTTTACTTAGGAAGTTAACTGCTGGGATAAAAAGGATGAACTAATACAAATAAAATGCATCAACAAGTCAACACAGTATTTTCCTCAGTCACAATTAATCCAGTTATTATTAAAAAAGTGAGTCTTAAGTCAGTGCCTGAAGATTGGGTGGGATTCAACCATTCTGTAGTGAAAGTTGGGTGTGAAAACAACAAAGTGCTTAGTCTTGTCATGTTAAGGGTGTGACAAGTTACATATGGGTCTAAGGGGTGAGTCATTATTCCTGAGTTCAACAGGTGAGTAGATGATTGTCTGTGAATTGTCTTGTATGCCAAGTGTTTTGATTGACTTAATCTCAGCATGCTTTGGATGCATGTCTCTGGACTAAGCTTAATATAAAAAGTTTTCATGCATATAGTATGCAGTGTATTTCTATATATAATATTGGGCATGCTTGTTATTAATTGTATGTATTTAGCATTTATTTACCAATAAATATTACAATTCACAATAAGAAATTTATGTTTGAGTGTTTAGTTTTCATTTCTGGAAGACTGACGCAGCGTTTTTTTCAGGATGGTTCTGAACAAAATCTATCCTGGAGTCATGCTCCAAACCTCTCCCTTTAAGGGAATGTGTGCTGAAGTCTTTTTCCATTGGGGGTCTGTAAATTGGAAATGAGCAAATGTTCTCCCACATAACCCCACCCCCTGCCTCACAACAGCTGTAAGATATTAGGCCTTATTTTCTCTTCCATTGAGAGACAGGAGGAACGAGCTGTTTGCCTCGCTATGATCAGGCTCGAGAGGACAATCGCGATCTATTAAATGAATGATCTGGAAAGATCTGCACCGTCCAAAAACAAGTGCAGAGGACTGGGTTAGAAATTTTGAAGCTGTGATTCATGATATCTCTCCAAAACATTTAGGAAAATACTGGCTATTTTGCAGAACAAAACCTATTTTCACTTTTTCAGTTTTCGCTCAAAATTAAAAGATGTTGGGTAATTTGCATATTATTTTCTTAAAGTTCAGTCATCATTTAGTCATCCTAATGTTGTTCTAAATCTGTATGACTTTATTTCTTCTGCAAAACACATAAGAAGATATTTTGAAGGCTGTGCTGGCTGCTCTTTTTATGCACCTACAGTGAATGGGGACTGGAGCTTTCAAGCTTCACAAAGGATGGAATATAGTGCACTTATGATGCTTTTTCATCTATTCAGACGCCATATGAAAGCTTTGTGATTCACTGAACTGTCAATTGTTTTAGGCTTTTTTTGTAGTTGCAGTCTTTCAAAAGTCTTGCTTCTATTTAAAGCAGGCTAATATAATATACTTTGATATACTCCTACAATACAGTATATAATAATCCCTCTGTTCTCAGTATTCTTATTGATATTACAGTATCCACCTTTTAATGGAAAGGTGGCATGTAAATTGCAACAACTTAATGGAAAAATAGTTATTGTCTGTTTTATCTGCTTTGTTCTGAAGCAAGCCTCTCTGTCACATAGCTTGCCCAGTTTCGCATTTTGCATTTACTGAATTGGCTGTATTTACACTTACAGTGAGTTTTTAAATGCTTTGACTGAATCATTGATTGATTGTTGAGTTAAAGGGGTCATATGATGTTGCTAAAAAGAACATTATTTTGTGTATTTTGGTGTAATGAAATGTTTATGCGGTTTAAGGTTCAAAAAACACATTATTTTCCACATTGTACATTATTGTTTCTCCTCTATGCCCTGCCTTTCTGAAACACGTCGATTTTTACAAAGCTCATCGGTCTGAAAAGTGAGGTGTGCTGTGATTGGCCAGCTATCCAGTGCGTTGTGATTGGCCGAATACCTCAAGCGTGTGACGGAAATGTTACGCCCCTTACCATACTGTGATGCCCTGTCTGACCGGAGTGACGAGACAAAAACAATAAAACCCATTATAAACGAGGCATTTGTTGCATCCAGTGGGGACATAATTACGGATTATAATGATTTATACTCTCTTTTTACGTGTTGCATCGTGCAGCGTAAACATAAAACCATGTCTGCATTTGTGATCGGAGAAATGACAAACAACAATCGCTACTCTACACTGCTCAAAACTCACGTTTGAATCGTCAGATCCTTTAAATATGAAAATGTACTTACAGGCTGTGAGTCAGAACAGCCGGCATTGTAGTCTACCAGGATCAGGAAACAGTCCTCCATAAAATGTGCTGCACACATCTGAATATTTGAGTTGAACTGTTCTGGAACAGTGTTGTAAATACAACTTAACCACTGATTTCTATTCGTGTCCTCTTTTGGAAGACCAAACAAAGTAGTTTCGCTTTCACAACGAAACGCACACGACTCCGTCATGGTGTGCACGACATGGCGGCAGCAACAATACTACAGCGAGAATAAAAGTTACGCTTTCTTTCTTTGCGTGAACATTTGGGCGGCGTTATGCAAATCTTCCCACATCGTGACGTAGACATGTGGGGGTGTGTTAGAACGAGCCGTTTTAGGTAGGCGTGGCTGACTCTTAACTTTTATAAAGAATATCTCTTTGGATTTGAGACTTTAGTCTTTGCAACTTTACAGATCTTCTTTATGCACCAAGAGCTTGTAACACTTCAAAGAGAGGAAAAATTTAAATCGCATCATATGACCCCTTTAAACTAAAGAATCAAATCAGCTGATTCATTGAAAACGTTTCATTAAACTGTTCATTAAACTTGAAAACGTCAGACTCCATTACAATTGCATGGAAAAGAGCGAACAGTACAGTCTTCTGAGTTGCTCCATTTTGTGCTCCACACAAAGTCATATGGTTTTGAAACTACATGAGGGTTAGTAAATAATAACCGAATTTATAAATGAACTTCAATTTTCATGAATGTTGTGTCCTTTGTTGTGCTGTGACCTATGTGAGCGGTTTGTTTGTGGTGTGGTTTGCTTTGAAGGTGAATAGTGATATAATGAGGCTCCATTAATGCTCTTCAGATGTTCTTTCCATGATAGAATCTAATAGCTCTGATCTCCAGGCACCATTAGTGTGCGATGCCCAGAATAATTTAGCCTAGCTTGTTGCCCTCTCATTACTTGCAATCTGTTTCTTTTAACTGCATGAGTCTGATCTCATGGTTTCACTCTTCAGTTGGAATTTGTCTATAAAAATAAAAAAATAAAGTGATAAAATAAGTGGAAGGTTTTCCTGTTGTGCAGATGGGCAGCTCTGGTATTGTTTTGTTGATCCCGTCTTGAACACTTCCAGGATTTTGCTGCCTTTTAAGGCACTGTTTTTCAGCAGCATATACAGTAGAGAGCAACACCCCAGCAGACAGACGGCAAGCTCTTCTCTGAACTCATGGTGAAGCCTCAAGCTGTGCTTATACGCCTAGTTCAATGGCTTTTTAATACACTAGTAGCACATGTGAGCCGGATCATTGTCATTACAGTCAATCAGAACTTAAGTGAAAGTCAGCATCATGTTAGATTTGCCAACATGCTGTTTCTGCTAAACTAGCCTTGGGAAAGACATGCTCTTTGCTTTCAGTCATGTTAGTGCATTCTGCCCCCTGGTGGAAGTGAACAGACATCGACTCTTCTGAAAACTTCCAAGACTATTAAACCAGTCTTTTTTTTCACTTTTCAATAGTAATAACAATTCAAACAAAACATTTATAGATGTATAGTTTGTATGATTTGTAGATACGATCTTATTTTTTTTATCTACATTCTAGATAATCTAGAATCTAGATAAATAACTAGTTTAAAGTGTGCCAGATGCAAAGTAATCTTTTTTTTATATCTATGTATTAATATTTGTCAAATGTATTGGAAAAACATTTATACAATTTTCAGAAAAGTTTTGAGATATCATTTTTAAAATTGTTTTAGCGAAAATTGTTTTAACTTTTTTTTATACAATATACAATATACTATTGTTATTATTAAACATGTTTTTACAATTTTTCAATGTAAATTGTTTTTAAAAATAGCAAGTTTTTTTTTTTCCTAGGGTAATATAATTTAAGAACAGATCATTTGTGAACCCTAAAAGACTTACTGATCATGATGCACAGTCATGAGGGTCCTCTTTGTGATATAATATCTTGTTTTGCCTTTTTAAATGTTGGTTATTTCTGGCAAAATTGATTTGGTTGGCACAAGTTTTTCAAATGTTATATTTTAAAACTATAATATTGTACTGCTATACTAATACTGCTGCTTCACTGCATCTTATTCATATACCGAAATACTTTCAAGAATTTCAGCCTTTTATTTATATCTCTTTTTTTTATGATTTCAGTATGGTTACTCAACCATTTTTTGGCATTTTGTTCATTTAGTTCAAATTAGTCACAGTGAATAGTCACTTATGTTCTCTTTATCTCTGCACAGGGGTAGATGCATCACCAGGAGCGAGCGCAGTATGAAGAAAGCAGGAAGGCCAGTGGGGAATAAGGCAGCAAGTGGAGGAGGTAAAGGTGACGCAGTGATAGCTGGAACCTCTGCTGGCAAAAGCGCTGTTAAGAGCCCTACCACAGCTCCGCTCTCCAAGGTAACATCATTCTCTTGCGCAGATCGAAAACTTAAACTAATATTTAAGTCACTCAGTTATTGTTGTTTTTCTGTTGATTTGTTCATCTTTGATTAACAGGTCAAAAGCAGTGATGATCTTCTAGCTGCTATGGCTGGGAGCAGTGCAGGGACAAACAGCAGTGTTGCCAAGGGCAAGAAATCAACCTCTACTCACTCAACGTCCTGTGGAACAAACACTAATAACCCTGACACAAAGATCAAGACCACCTCAGGTATTTAAAGGTTTTGTTTAATTTAACCAGTAACCAAATAACTATTTAGCATTGTTTAGACTACTGTTGAAGTTTCAGCAGTGCGATGTGAAGTGTTTTGTTTATTTGTTCTCGTATTTGACATTATTTCTTCACAAGGTCCATCTGGCAAACGGACATCATCCATGGCCTCCAAGGAGTCAAACTCCTCTCGTGATCGTTTGCGAAACTCCAGCAGTAAGAAGCAGTCATCCACTGGTGCGTCTGATCGAGCCCAGCCCAGGCATTCCCGTGGACTGGCCCAAACCTCAGACTCGGAGAGCCGCATGAGCAAATCAAAGTCTGACGGACAGCTAAGTGATAAAGTGGCCCTGGAGGCCAAAGTAAAACATCTGTTAGGTCTGGCCAAGAGCAAAGATGTGGAAATCCTGCAGCTACGGGGTGAGCTGAGGGACATGAGGGTTCAGCTGGGACTGCCTGAGGTTAGATCAAATTCACATTATAACTATGAATAAACAAATGAACAATTCAGGAAAAAAACGAATTAAGTACTACTCTAACTGAAAATAAAATCTATACAAACTACCAAAACACATTGCACAATCAAAGTAAAAAGTGTTGTTTTAGGTAATCCAGTGCATGCTTTGTTTTCTATAGCAATTTCATAGATATGGAATCCAGTTTCCGCCTTAGAGAAGAAAATAAAAACGGTATTTGTGCGCTTAAGTTTAAAATAATGGATGCAAGTCACATTGTGAGATAAAAAGTCATACTATGAGATGTAAAGCCATAGTTACCTTTTTATTATATATATTTTTTTACTCTGAGGTGGAAATGGGCCTCCATAGTGGATTTAATAAAGGATATCTCTATAGTTTTTAAAAATAAGTCATAATTTGGTCAGCCTTATAATCATACTTGGGGAAATTAGGATGTGGATAGTGAGTTTAAGTATTTATGTGGTGAGACAAGTACCAGTGAATAGTGTTGGTGAATCTGTAATGTGACATAACTGATGGTGCTATGTCCCTTAGATTAAAACTACTACTTTAGATTAAAAGCCCTCACCATGATGTTATGTTGCTCCTAGGAAGATGAGGAGGACGAGAGGCCACCTGAAAGGGAGGCGGCTGCAGTGATCACAGCTGCAGATGTGGAGTCGACGTTGCTGCTCCTGCAAGAGCAGAACCAGGCCATCCGTGGAGAGCTCAACCTGCTTAAGAATGAAAACCGTATGCTAAAGGACCGCCTCAATGCTCTTGGCTTTTCCCTGGAGCAAAGACTGGATGGGGCTGAGAAAACCTTTGGCTTTCCCTCCGCCAGTGCTGAACTTGCCTCCTCTGGAGGTGGTGGAGGTCATGGAGACTGTGCTACTGCGGCCTCCTCTGTGGAGGGATCTGCACCAGGCTCCATGGAGGACCTCCTTACGGGAGGCCAGCGAAGTGGCTCAACGGACAACCTGGACAGCGAGTCCAGTGAGGTCTACCAAGCGGTGACCTCCAGTGACGACGCTTTGGATGCTCCCTCAGGCTGTGGCTCCTCGTCATCATCTGAGTCAGAAGGTGGCGCTCCAGCATGTCGCAATTCCTCTCGTAAGGGGAGCAGCGGAAACACCAGTGAGGTGTCAGTGGCGTGCCTTACAGAGCGCATTCACCAGATGGAGGAAAACCAACACAGCACGGCTGAGGAGCTCCAAGCGACTCTACAGGAACTGGCTGACCTGCAACAGATCACGCAGGAACTAAACGGCGAAAATGAACGCCTGGGAGAGGAAAAGGTCCTGCTTATGGACTCCCTCTGCCAACAGAGTGACAAACTGGAGCACTGTGGCCGTCAGATCGAGTATTTCCGCTCCCTTCTGGACGAGCACGGCGTGACCTACTCAGTAGACGAAGACATCAAGAGTGGCCGATACCTGGAGCTAGAGCAACGCTATGTGGAGCTTGCAGAAAATGCTCATTTTGAGCGCGAGCAGCTCTTGGGTGTGCAGCAACATCTGAGCAATACTCTAAAGATGGCTGAGCAGGATAATGCAGAGGCTCAGAGTGTGATTGCAGCACTGAAGGAGCGCAACCATCACATGGAGCGACTTCTAGAGGTGGAAAGGCAGGAGCGGGCCGGCATGGTGGCAGTTCTGGAGGAGTGTAAAGCTGCGGTCAGCAACGACCAGACTGAGCTGAGCCGCTGTCGGGCGTTACTTGAGCAGGAGAGGCAAAAGGTTGCAGAGCTTTACTCCATCCACAATGCCGGAGATAAGAGCGACATCCACCAGCTTCTGGAGGGGGTTAGACTGGACAAGGAAGAAGCTGAAGACAAAGCCGCCAAATTACAGGACGATTTGGGCCACGCTCGCAATGAGGTGGCATGTCTGCAGGACACCATCAACAAGGTGAGCTTAAGCACTTGTTCAGTTGCTTTAAGAACAGTTAGGAGCCTGTTTGACTTCTCCTTGTTTCCTTTTGTGGTGGTCCAGCTGGACGCCGAGTACAGGGACTTCCAAAGCGAGGTGCAGAAAGAGTTAACCGAGCAGAAGAGGGCTCTAGAGAAGCAGCGTAAGGACCTGCAGGAAAAGGAGACGGAGATTGGAGACATGAAGGAGACCATTTTTGAGCTGGAAGATGAAGTGGAGCAGCACCGAGCTGTCAAACTTCATGACAACCTCATCATCAGCGACCTAGAGAGTGAGTTTGAGTTGCACATCCTGATTTAGATTTTCCACATTCTGCACAAATGTTTCATGCTTTTTAAAGGGGTCATATGATGCGATTTCAATTTTTCCTTTCTCTTTGGAGTGTTACAAGCTCTTGGTGCATAAAGAAGATCTGTAAAGTTGCAAAGACTAAAGTCTCAAATCCAAAGAGATATTCTTTATAAAAGTTAAGAGTCAACCACGCCTACCTAAAACGGCTCGTTCTAACACGCCCCCACATGTCTACGTCACTGTGTGAGAAGTCAGTGGTTTAGTTGTATTTACAACACTGTTCCGGAACAGTTCAACCCAAATATTCAGATGTGTGCAGCACATTTTATGGAGGACTGTTTCCTGAGAGAGTAGCCTACAATGCCGTTGTCTGTTTCTATAAAGTGGGGCAATTCCAACTTTGCAAGGACAGTCTGACTCTGACTTCTGACTCACAGCCTGTAAGTACGTTTTCATATTTAAAGAATTTGCCACTGACGATTCAAACGCGAGTTTTGAGCAGTGTAGAGTAAGTAGCGCTTGTTGTTTGTCGTTTCTCCAATCACAAATGCAGACATTTTTTTATGTTTTCGCAGAGTGATACGCAACGTGTAAAAAGACAGTATAAGTAATTATCATCGGACAATGTGAATCTGGTTGTTGGAGGTCTGGGTACATGCTATGTTCAACACGAGAAGAGACTCTAATTGGTGTATCTTCCTCATATCACCACATGGTGGTGCCAGTTGTTTAAGGATGTGGTTTACTTATTGTGTTAGTAGTATGAAGCAGCAGTGAATGAATGTTTTTTTGCCATCACTTGACTGCTACAGATCACAAATATCATTGGAAATCTTTCTTTTATTTACTTGTCACCTTTTATCCTTTGTGGTATCATTTAGAATGAGATTACATAATCACTGTTGCTACAGTGCATTTATTTTATGTCCCCCATGTGAACCCTGTATGCTCTCATTTCACATGCTCACTTGCTCTCTTTCCGGTTTCCTGGCAGATTCAATGAAAAAGCTTCAGGATCAGAAGCATGACATGGAGAGAGAGATAAAGATACTGCACCGCAGACTCCGGGTGAGTGAGGGCAGGGGCAGCAGTTCATGCAGTCATCTGAGGACCCAGCTTTCATAGATAGAAAGAATAGAAATCGTTTGAAAGAATGTCTTCAGATTTTGAGTGTAATGTCATGATAAAACCACAGGAAAATCTTAATTTCATACTAAAGAATTCACTTAACACATTATTGATGGACACCACTTTTTATGTTTATTAATTAGTGTTTGTCTTAACCCACTAATGTCCAGATCTGTGTCATAATCTTTGTCAGAATTTCTGTCCGTATGGTTGTCTGCCTGTTTGTTTGTTTGTTTTAAACATCTAGAATCATCCCAGTGTTCGATAATTCAGCATGTTTAGGTGCCTGTGGTCTTAAATGGGTTAATGCATGCCTATAATTATTCTTACTAAACCTGTGCCTCTGTGCTTGTGCATTTATGTATGTTCAGGAAGAGTCGGCAGAGTGGCGTCAGTTCCAGGCAGATCTGCAGACTGCTGTGGTCATTGCTAATGACATCAAGTCAGAAGCTCAAGGGGAGATTGGTGACCTGCGCCGCCGCCTGCAAGAAGCCCAAGAAAAGAACGAGAAGTTGAGCAAAGAACTAGATGAAGTTAAAAACCACAAGTAAGTGTTAAAAGCCAGTGCATAGTGTTGTGCTGCCAGTCTGTGAAATGCTCAGTGACAAGCAGAACTTGATCCTCTTTTCTTTTTTTTGGTGGTGAAGTTACTTGTTTTTAACTAGTACATTTTTGGATTATCTTAGAAGACAGCATATTTTACATACTATTGTTTGGGCCAGCCTTGGTGGCATATTTTTACAGAAATTATCTGAGAGCACCTTTGTTTGAGTTTAATTATATTAATGTAGCAGATGAGGGTCACATAATCATTTCAATTTAATAAAGACTTTCCTGTCTATGAGGAGACAGAGTATCTATGTTTAAAATATGACTCTGTAATGTCTCAAAGGCAAGACGAGGAGCGTGGACGTGTATATAACTACATGAACGCTGTTGAGAGGGACCTGGCTGCACTCAGGCAGGGCATGGGACTGAGTCGACGCCCCTCCACATCCTCCGAGCCGTCACCCACCGTTAAAACCCTCATCAAAAGCTTTGACAGTGCCTCACAGGGTACCTTGCCATTTTTAAACATTGTTAAATCGCTGGTTTTATTTCCGGCATGTTTAATGGTCTCAAAAGATTGATTTAATCTGTTTTGGTGTGGTCACAGGTCCTGGAGCTAATGCTACTGCAGTCGCTGCTGCAGCCACCGCTGCTGCAGCCACCGCTGCTGCAAGCACAACCACGAGCGCCCCCTTACCTCGCACACCTCTCAGTCCCAGCCCTATGAAGACCCCACCTGCTGCTGCTGTCTCACCCATGCAGGTATCTCAGAGTTACACAATGACACACATCACAGTGATGCAGAGCGACTTATTTTCATTGTGAAGGTCAAACAGTAGCATGCTGGCTCTTTTCCTGCTTGTTGAGCCTCAGAAGCCTCTGAGATAGCAGCACTTCCTCCTCTTTTGGGCCTCTTGACATTTCTCGCAGGATTGGCTCATTCATGAGAACTACGGAATTTCCATTGTGGGATGGTTCTGTTTCCTTTTACGTTTTATTTCTAGTGCAACCGCAACTGCTGATTCTGTCTGGTTGTGAAACTGAGTTTTTGCCTGTAAGCGAAGCTGTTAACGTAGCTTAAGTTAGCTGAAGGCAAACTGAAACCACAAACAAAGAGAAATGTTAAATTTTCTAGCTCATCTTAAGAGCTTTCGTAACAATTTAACCTCATGCCAAGCTAGTAGGCTAAGCTGTTAGCTTGCAAACTAAAAAAATGCAACGAACCGGAAATATTTAATTTGTTGTGACATTTTTTTTCTAGCTCGTCAAAAGAGTTCTTAAGCAGTTATTGCTATGCCAAGCTAGTAAGCAAAGCTGTTAGCTCGTTAACCGAAGACTAACTGAAGAAGGGAAAAGGCTAAAGGGAATGGTTTAATTTTTTGTAGCTCATCAAACGAGCACTCTTAACAATTTCGCGCTATGCTAAGCTAGTAGGCTAAGGTTTTAACTTTTTAACTGGGGACTAACTGAAAACGCATAAGGAAAATGTTTCGTTTGTTGTGACAATTTTTTTTCTAGCTTATCAAAAGAGCATTCTTAATTTAGTGCTATGCTAAGAGACTAACTAAAACACAAAGGAAGGGAAATGTTTAATGTTGATATCTTGTTGTTGAGACCTTTTACAAGCATCAGGTGCTAAGTCTTATTACAGCTTCCTTTATTTTATTATTTTCAAGTGCAGAAAAGCGCATGTGGAACTCTTAAATGAAATGGAGATATGAATCTATCTCGGTAGTGGCGTAGAGTGTATGAGATATATCTCTCTTTATGACTTTCTTTCATAATCCTGTCTCACCTCAAGTGGCTCTGCTGTCGTTATTCAGGCACAGTTATCTTTTGTTTCAGATCAGACCAGTTGATGAAAAAAATGTAAGCTAATATATTAAGATGATTTACATACTGTTTATGTTAATCACCTACAGAGACACTCCATCACTGGCTCTATGGCTGCTGCAAAGCCCCTCTCCTCCCTTACAGACAAAAGACCCAGTTACACGGACATCAGCATGCCAGGTACACACCACAACATTTCTCCTTCAGTCTTTCAAATGGTCATTATTTGTAATTATATCAGTTTTTCAGTACACTGACTGATTTATTGCCTTTTTGATTTATTGATTTGATTTACTGATTCAGGTCATGCCAGCTTTTCCTTTTAGTAGCCAATGGAAATGCCTGTCAGCTTGTTGTAACATCTAATTTATTGAATAAGAGTACAACATATTTGTCATTAAATTGTGGTTTCTAAAATAAAATTGCGATGAAAGGTCTAATAAGAATATTCATTGTGTTTCTAATATGTTTTATAATAACATGGCAGAATAGCTATAAGAATTATAGCAACAACTTATAGACCATTTATTTTGATGAATCTTTGTAAGGTCATGTCGAATATGTTGTAATAATTACACAAATAATAATTATATGTAATTAATAAATTATGCCTAGGACCATGTAAAAATAATCTATTCGATTTATTTATAAATATTTATTTTTCTATTTATACTCCGCTCTAAAATATTTCATCCATTCAATGTCTATAAAATAATTTTTTTAAAAGACTTTTCTAATAATCTAAAAAAAAAATAGAAATGTGTAAGTCAAAAGGTGTGGTGCTCCTGTTGTGGCACTCCACCCTGACCTGGTGAATGAACACATTTTTCATTTAGTTATGACCCACTGCAAAATGTGAATCATAGCACCCAGATTTTCCAGAAGTTGTAATGGGTTGGATGTCATGGGATTTGGATCTAGGAGGTAGTTTCTTAGTAAAAGACGGCCGCTTTCCCGACACAAGAAGTTTATGACCCCGCAAAAGCAGCACTGAGCTCATGGTGACCTCAGATGTGATAACTCATGCGAAAATACACCAAGTATGAACAAATACTCGGGTTTCAATGCCTCCTCCCCACTCATTTTCACCGTTATTATGCTGGAGAGGGAGGCAGTGTGTGTTTGTGAACGTGCGAGAGAGAGCATAGAGCCCTTTTGTCATGCTTGCTTTTACGTTCGGCTGCTTATTGGAAACTCTTATCAACCTTTGTGGACCGTGTTTTGATTGGCAGGATGTCTTTCATGCGGGAGTGATCTTTTGCCCTGTCTGACCCTTTACAGCTATTGAAACTTATTGGCTGCCAACATTAGTATTTTTTTCCCTCTAATGTTCCTTTCATTTTATTAGATTGATTTCTTTGATTATACATGTAATAGCATTTGATTGTCATTGATTTAATCTGCAATAACATTTTATTGTCAGTTTGTCAAGTTAGCTTTGTGTGTTTGTAGACTGCAACATTCATTCATTCATTGTGTTATTTCCTATTACTGCCAGAATTATATTTAGCTCCCAGATGAACTGATAACATATTGAAATTCGCATTATGACATAATATCTCTCTCTTTCTCTGTCTGCAGCTGAGCATCTACTAAGAGCAGCCAACGGCAGCCGTCCTGCTTCAGCTCTTCAGAGAGTCTCAAACATGGACACATCAAAGACTATCACAGGTGAAGCTTAGACCTATTTAAAATCAAACTAATACAGAAACTATGCTTATAATAAACACTCTACCGATGCACTCATAGTCTGCGATGTAATGTTTTATTCATAAATATAAATAGAGATTTTTTTTGAAAGATGTTGAAACTTTTATCCAGCAAGAATGCATTAAGTTGATCAAAAGTGAAAGTAAAGACATTTATAATGCCACAAAAGATTTCTATTTCAAATAAAATGCTGTTCTTTTGAAATCTCTATTCATCACTGAATTCTGAAAAAAACATCACATTTTCCACAAAAATATTAAGCAGCACAACTGTTTTAAAAATAAGAATAATAATGTGATAATAATAGGAAATGTTTCTTGAGCAGCAACTCAGCATATTAGAATGATTTCTGAAGGATCATGTGACACTGAAGACTGGAGTAATGATGCTGAAAATTAAGCTTTGCAATCACAGAAATAAAATACATTTTAAAATATACTGAAATAGAGACACTTATTTTAAAATGTAATAAAGTTTCACAATATTACAGATTTTACTGTATGTTTGATCAAATAAATGCAGCCTTGGTGAACAAAATAGAACTTCTTTGAAAAACATTGAAAAAAATTCTTACAGACTAGAGCTGCATGATAAATCGCATGCGATATTTAACGCGCATCTTATCAGTAAAGCTGGTTCTGTAATCAGCAGTAAATCTCCATCGCGTGCGGGCTTTCACATGGAGCAGCATTAACTACACAGAGCCGTTGTTCACTGACAAGCTGCGCAAAACCACGTTCATATTCATATTTTTTGTGCAGCTGGTCAGTGAACAACGGATCTGTGTAGTTAATGCTGCTCCATGTGAAAGCACGCAGGTGATGGAGATTTACCGCTGATTACAGAACCGGCTTTCTGACAAGATGCACATTAAATATCGCATGCGATTTATCGTGCAGCCCTATTACAGACTCCAAACTTTTGGACAAGTGTGTACATTCAGTGCTCTGACAACAATTCAGTTACATTATAATTTTTTAATAAATGGTACAATGCATCGTAACGTCAGAAATGTCATTGTTTGATTCAATTGAATTATTTTGGCACACAACACATTGGATTTTTATAACTTATACGTTGTTACAGAAAATCTAATACGTTCTTAAATTTCACAATTGATGAATGTGACTTTTAATGTCTTTTTATAACGGCTGTGAATTTTATTATTTTCCCGTTAATGTAAATCAAAAGAATAGGAATGCTGTTACCCAAAAGATAATCAAACTTTTTCTCTCTCCACTGTTTAGTGTCTCGGAGAAGCAGTGAAGAGGCGAAGAGGGATATCAGTGCGCCTGATGGAGGCCCAGCTTCCTCTCTGATAGCCATGGGCTCTGCTGCACCTCCTCTCTCCCTGTCCTCTTCCTCTTCCCCCACAGCCTCCGTTAACCCCACAGCACGCAGCCGCCTTCGGTACGCACCTGCCCTACAACTGGCTAACCTACACACATGCACCTTGACCAGTTCAAGATATTCCATGATATGAAGCTGAAATGCTTTCGCTGAGTTGATAACACGATTACTAAAATAGTCATTTTTTGGTTTGTTTATCCATGTAGAGAGGAGCGAAAAGACCCTCTGTCAGCTTTGGCTCGTGAATATGGTGGTTCTAAAAGAAATGCACTGCTGAGGTGGTGTCAGAAGAAAACCGAGGGTTATCAGGTTTGTATTATGACATGTAAAATAGAAGCAGAAATGTATATTATATTAATTTATTTGTTAAAAATCTTATATTTAAAAATATATACTTAGATTTACCTATATACTTATTTAATATATATGATAATTAAAATAATTAATATATACCATAAAAAGCACATTGCTAGATTACTTTGATTTTGATTCTGAAGATTTTTTTATTTTTTTATGTATTTTTATATATCAGCTAATGGTGATGTTGTGTTCTTCCAATGTCCGCTTACTATTATTTTGTAGCTGCTGTCAGTTTCATGTTGGAACTTTTGATCACTTGGACTGTCTTGGAAGTTTTAGTCTTGCCGAATCTCAGATGTCATCTTTGTCCACAGAATAATAGCTGTAATGCTGGCCCATGTCATATCTGTTATATCCATCTTTTTTCCCCCTGTCAGATTTCAGTGAAAAGCTCTTTTCGACTTTTTAAACAAGGTCTGTCTCTTCCAGAAAAGCTTGTGTGGTTGTCACTGTCACTGTTTATCAAGATCCTCACCAGGAAGTCCGCTGGATTTCTCTGGCACTTTAAATGGCACTTACTTGATGCAAAACAGGATCGTCAGCAGCACTTCTGGGAACAAATTTGTTGAATTTGCATCATCAGGGAATTTTTATTTAGAAATGACTACATTTTTCTTATGCAACAAAGTCTCCAATAAATCTTTTATTGATTTGTGAATGGATTTTTTTCTCCATTTTTAAAATACATCATCCTCAGTAGTTTTCCGATACACAGTGTGAAAATTAAAATGCATTATAAACAAATGCAGCTTAATGTTGCAGTTGCCTTGCTTGTTTGCACATATTTTAAGAAGTAGAGTAAACATGAGTTTTTTTTCTCATGTTTCTGGTCGTCTTAACCACCAAGACTTAACCCACATGTGAAACTATGAGCTGTGATCACAACTGATGGTTATCAAAGGGGAACAGAAGAGAAATGGCTTGATGCTTTTGTATTAGATTCAAGCATCAAAATAATATAGAAACAAAAAAAGCCACTTTATTCCTTTCAGCACTATCTGCTCATCCCTAAATAAGGATGTCTGGGAGGCTGAAGTCTCTCTGCCACATTACGGTGAGAAGTGGAAGTCAAAACATTGTGGACATTTGTAGAAATGGATCTGAAACATTATATTTTGCTCTTTAGCGCACAAAAGAGGTTGTGGGAGAAGCTATGAACAGGAAATCTGCTTTATTTTACACCACAGGAAGGATGAGTACATTTTGCATTGTGGGTTATGCTCCATTGAATGTGCCACACTGAATTGCACACATTTCATGACTTTAAACCTGGTGTATCATGTTGAAACCCTCTCTAATGTGGTTTTAAATGTACTGCAGCTTTATTTTCATAATATTGCATTTTTCGTTATTGCTAATGCAAAGTCTAGGAGGCTTATATGAAGTCTGTCATGTCTGTTTGTTACGCAGAACATCGACATTACCAACTTTAGCAGCAGCTGGAATGATGGATTGGCTTTCTGCGCTGTCCTTCACACGTACCTGCCTGCTCATATACCTTATCAAGAGCTCAATAGTCAGGACAAGGCAAGTACACTATTGAGTTCTGCATAATGATCATGCCATATAACACTAATGGGAGAATCATTCATATTCAGTGGCACCAAAAGGTATTTAGACAGTTAAAACACACTTCAAAAACCTTTCATCATATAGAATATCATTGCATAAATAACAATCAAAACCAAGTGCATTTACTTTAACAATTTTTCAAGTCAGAGTTTTTTTTTTTAGGTTAATCTTGGTTTATTAGTTGTCGTTAATCTCACAACTATTTATTTGTGTTTTCAGAGACGAAATTTCAGCCTGGCCTTCCAAGCAGCAGAAAGTGTGGGAATCAAGTCCACTCTGGTAAGAGGTTTTAAATAGGTATTTTGCATTAGCTTGATCACAACAGCTCATTCAGGCCAGCTGATGCAGTAAGTCTGTAGTTTGCACACAAATAGGCACGTTCAGGAGCTCCGGTTTGCTCCGAACAACATGCACAAAGACCTAATGCAGATCTAAGGCACTCTATTAATCATTGAGTTAGGAATATTTCTGTCATCCACTCCCATCCTGTAAGCTGACAGCAGGTGAAAAGCTGGAAACACTTAATTATCAGCCAGCAGTATTTACTTATAGCACAATTGTTTCTTCTCTGTTGTGTACTACTTAATAAGTTCAGCATGCACATACTGAAAGCACCTCTGAAGCTCTTGAGAATCTAAGCAACTCATATAGAAAGTCATAGAAATTAATCTAATATTAAAAATCATTGCACAGTTGTGGACATTTCCACGAAGAATATACATTTTCATGTTGTTTTGCCTATAATTTGATATATAATCAGTGACTAGATTGTTTTTGTGTGTGCGCTAGTAATACACTACAGTTCAAATGTTGTTGTTGTTTTTTTTAAGTCTCTCGTGCTCACTAAGGCTGCATCTTCAGTTTTTTTGATAAAAAATACAGTGAATTGATATATAATCAGTGACTAGATTGTTTTTGTGTGTGCGCTAGTAATACACTACAGTTCAAATGTTGTTGTTTTTTTAAGTCTCGTGCTCACTAAGGCTGCATCTTCAGTTTTTTTGATAAAAAATACAGTGAAAATAATAATATTGTCATTTAAAATATTACTACAATTTAAAGTTTTTATTGTAATATATTTTCAGATGTATTTCTGTGATAGCAAAGTTAAAATTTCAGTCTTCAGTGTCACATGATTTTTCTGAAATCATTCTAATATGCTGAATTACTGCCCAGGAAGCATTTCCTTTTATCAATGTTCAAAAGAACAGCATTTATTAAAAAGAGAAATTGTTACTGTCACTTTTAATCAATTGCTGAATTCCTTGCTGAATAAAAGTATTCATTAAAAAAAAATTTAAAATCTTATCGACCCCAAACTTTTGAATAGTAGTGTATAAAAATGACAAATCTCTATAAAATTATTTTTTACAAAGTTAAAATTTCAGTCTTCAGTGTCACATGATTTTTCTGAAATCATTCTAATATGCTGAATTACTGCCCAGGAAGCATTTCCTTTTATCAATGTTCAAAAGAACAGCATTTATTAAAAAGAGAAATTGTTACTGTCACTTTTAATCAATTGCTGAATTCCTTGCTGAATAAAAGTATTCATTAAAAAAAAATTTTAAATCTTATCGACCCCAAACTTTTGAATAGTAGTGTATAAAAATGACAAATCTCTATAAAATTATTTTTTTAAATTTTAGTTGATAAGTGATATAATGCACCTCTCTCAAACACACTTTAATTTTCACTCTCTTTCTCTCTCTTTCTCTTTCAGGACATCAATGACATGGTCCATACAGAAAGACCAGACTGGCAGAGTGTTATGACTTACGTCACCGCTATCTACAAGTATTTTGAGACCTGAGCACATGTACTTTTATAAATTGTCAAACCAATGCAACAGATTATCACCAACTAACCTGAGTGCAACATCCCACCATATCATCTAAGCCTAATCCTAGCACAAAGTCATATTAAACTGATCACAGTTCAGTTAGCATATGCTGATATGGCATCGATATGTCAAAGAAAATCCTCTACAGTGGAGCCACTAATGCAGAATCCGTTTGCCTTGATAATGCTTCAACTCACTGTCGAGTGACTAACACTACAGACTACAGCTAGTTACTAATTCTTAGTGTGGATGATCGGAGACTGAGTCTTAAGGAACAGCGTGGACCCGCTTGCAACCCCGTGCCTTTCACCACCCTGAGTTCTTGCTTCCAGACGGGCGTTTGGAGCAAGTTCTTCACCTTAATTCACAGCCGTGCAACAATGGAGCTCGAGGCGTGCGGATTGCTCAAAGCAGTGCCTAATTGAAACACTTAATTGGAGAAGCACTTCAGAGAATTGTACACTAATAGGAGTTATTCACTATAGCACACAGTCAGTGGTTAAACTTTTTTTTTTTTTTTACAGGACTGTTTTAAAAGCTCATCGATGGCACATTATGTTACGAGTGTGATGGATCTTGGCTTGAAATACTACATATTAAATAGGGAGATCAGCAATAAGCTTATGTAACCCGTTGAGCCATTTCATATGACATTAGTGCTGCTTACCAACAGTATGATACTGTAGTAAACACTACATTCAGATTAGCAGCACTTGTGCATGTACTGTCCAGTGTATTAGTCTGAAATAGTATACCAAAATTGAAATGTCACGATGTCTTTTTGTTTGTAAGCTAACTTCCTTCTGTACTAATCAAATAGTATGTTCTTTCTCAGGATAAGAAAGTCTTATTGATATTTATCAAGATGAAAAATCATATGCAATGCATAATGTTATGTACATTGCTCTACCAGTACCCGCACATTTTATTGTTTGCAAAGCACAAAAATCATTTTACATTCACTAATTCAAACTGTAAACGAAGCTACATTCCAGTGCATTAATATGTATGTATATGGAGAATTTGAGAGTGTGAGGAAAAAGGACAGTTGTCACATATATCCTGTTTTCCAGCTGTGCTGAATTCAGGCATTGCTTTCTTTTCATGAGTTTGAAAGACTTTGACGTTTCCCACCTGTCTGCAAATAACACTTTAAAGGCAATATAAGACATACAAATAAATAACACTAATGATAAAGTAGGAATTTTTCATGAGTGCAATGAAAAAAATGTGAGGTATGTATCTTATTTTCGAAACCCTTTGATATTAAGTATAAGTATTTCACATTGTTTGAAATAATTCCTATTCAAATTCCAGGGTGTGTAACTAGGCAGCCATTTTTAGCTCTCGAACATCTGAAAGACAAATCTGCAGTTTCCTTTTGTTAAGCGTTTAAGATTTATTCCAAACTGCATTACTGAGCTACTTTACCTTTGGACCACGATCACATAATTAAAAGTAAGTGTCAGAATAATATTTATATTTGTCCCGAATAAAGCCTGACCAAATGTTTTGTTCGTGAGCCTCATATCAGCTTCATTTACTAAACGAGGCCTGTATGTGTGTTTAATGTGCTTCATCCAGCTTTCATCACATTAATATGAACGTAATACTGCAGATGTAAAACAGCTCTGTTGCTTTTTTGATTGTTAATAATTTACACCAGTTTTCAGTTCTTTAATGCTGAACATACTTTTGCTGCCTTTTGTTTAGTTTTTTTATCATTACGTGTGTGTTATCTTAATAAAATCAAGGGTAAAATGATTTCCTTTTTTATGAATAAATGGGAAGAGCAATCAATATGCTGTTCCTCCTAAATGAATGGTCATGAGTTGTATAAATATTTATTTGAGTTTATTTAGTTATCTTTTTCTTTGCATTTTAGTTTAGCAGACTATGTAATTCTCCAGAGTTCTGCAGCATTGGGAAATCCCTTTTTGGCTTTCATTTTTTAAAGATGATTGAATTGGTTTATGAATCAGTGAACAACTTGTATTATATAGAAATAACAAAAATGAGGTTTTAATTAATTCCCAGCCCTTTTCCGGACTGGAAATTCAAGTAATGTAATGAATCGTGGATGCCCACCCATTTGGCTGGAAGGCTTTTCTAATCTTTGTCCTAAACACATTTAACCAGTCATTTAAAATTTGTATTTTGTCCTGAATGAGACCAATTAATTGGCCCGATTTCCTGCACAGAGCCCTATTGTCTGTGCCACAATTGATTTTTTTCATTGTGAATGGAATCCAGATTGAGAAGACTTACAGAAAACGTTTGACCTCTGTCATTGCCAACAAAGGGTATATAACAAAGTATATCAACTTTGTTGATATATATAAGTCCTCCTATGTCTGGCTTAATTGGAGGACTTCATATGTGTAATTTCATATTGACAAATGAAGGTACGAATATAATTTGTTTTTTTTTCCCTGTCCATGACTTGTCTTCAGGACCGCTTGAGAGCAAGAGCTCTAATGTGTGAAAACCTTGTGAAGACTTACAGAAAACGTTTGACCTCTGTCATTGCCAACAAAGGGTATATAACAAAGTATATCAACTTTGTTGATATATATAAGTCCTCCTATGTCTGGCTTAATTGGAGGACTTCATATGTGTAATTTCATATTGACAAATGAAGGTACGAATGTAATTTGTTTTTTTTTTCCCTGTCCATGACTTGTCTTCAGGACCGCTTGAGAGCAAGAGCTCTACATGTGTTTGACAAAGATCATTTAAAAGCCTCAGACAAACTGTTATAGAATTGTTTATAGACAGTAAGAATTCCATTTAAACTATTGGTAAATCTCAACAAAACCGAATAAATGGTCAATACGAAATGTCCAAATATTATTCAGGAAGCTCATTTGAATTGTGTAGGCTACTTATAATAAATTCTGCCTTGTACGTTTGCTTTCAGTTTAATCCGAGAAGAGAGACCTGGCAGTCGCAGCTCAGTTGTTTCACTGATACTCGATCGCAGGAAGAAGCGGTATCAGTATCTAAACACTCGTCCAGTGTGGAAATACTGGCCCCCGCCTGTGGATTGGTCCAGCACTGGCTCTCATAGGGGTCCTATAGTCTGTCAGCTCTCACTGCTGATATCAGAGTGCGCGCGACTTCACACAGACGGAATCAGTAACGAATCATGAACCACTGAGGACTCCCCAAGTTTTTACATTTCTTTTTCGGAGGGGTTGCCTTTTTTTCATCTTTGGCTGTGGGATTCCCAGCTTATTTTGTTTTTCTTTCTCATTCATTCCAGGGGTTATCAACTCTGATGGTAAGTTGAAACCAACAGCTAGGCTAACTAATAAGAAGTTTAGAGCCCGCGTGGTATCGATTGAATTGAATTTGTCTTATTATATTTGAATTAAATAATTCGCGCACGGATTAACAGCATTTTTAATATCGAAGCGAGGTCAATTTGAGTGAAATTGTTTTTAATATTTAAAACGCACGTTGAGTCCAGTTCTACATACATCAACATATTTTAGCCTCAAAACAAATAATACAAGAACGACCCCAATTACACCTCTAATTTAAAATAAAAAGGACTTTAAAAACTACAATATACAGTGTTATTCATATATATATTGTATGTTAAATTCACGTTTTCAGCGCAAACTAGCAGTGCCATACACGGCAAGCTAGTTCAGCATTTATTCCTTAAAACCAACTACTAGCCTAGGCCTATCTATTTTGTTACTATTAATATTTTTAAACTAGTGTTTTTAATTTATTTTTATTTTCTAGTTAGTAGTATGACATCTTTTAACATTTCACCGGTATTCACTAGATACTACACTCTAAAAAATGCTGGGTTAAATACAACCCAGTGCTGGGTAAAATAGGGACAAACCCAGCAATTGGGTTGTTTTGACCCAGCGGTTGGGTTACTACCCAGAAGGTTGGGTTAAACATTTAATCAAACCGCTGGGTCAAAACAGCCCAATTGCTGGGTTTGTCCCTATTTTACCCAGGGTTGTATTTAACCCAGCATTTTTTAGAGTGTAGTAGCCTAACGTTACTTATTTCAGTAGTGAGTAATTTAATTAGGTGTTTTTTCATTACATAGGCTACCACTATTTAATTTACTTCTAGTCACTAGTTACTTGAATCTATTCTGGTTTTACTACTTGTTAGACACTATTAGACTAGATATTTATGTGTATTCCAATTGTTAACTGTGTCATTTGTAAATTAACTGCACATCCCATTGTTTCCTGAAGTAAGCAGGAAAATCATCCAAAAGTTAACACCCAGCATCAAACACGAGCAAGCTATCTATGTGTCCACACTAGTGTTAATATTATGCTTTTAAATGAGTTAGCTTTATTTTGATTCAGCTCGCTATATTGTTAAAAGTTAACCATACTGTAGCCTACATTTAACATTTTTATTTTAGACATTGTATGTTTCTTGTATTTCACTGATATCAATTGGTGTCAATCTTAAAAATAAAGGTGCTTCAAAAGGTTCTTCAAGCGATGCCATAGAAGAACCATTTTTGGTTCCACAAAGAACCATTCAGTCAAAGGTTCTTTAAAGAATCATCTCTTTCTTACCTTTTTATAATCTGAAGAACCTCCTTTCGCTACAAAGAACCTTTTGTGAAACAGAAAGGTTCTTCAGATGTTAAAGGTTCTTTATGGAACTATTTGGACAAAAAGGTTCTTCTATGGCATCGTGAAGCACCTTTCTTTTTAAGAGTGTAGATGTTAGATACTGTACTCCGGTCTGATAAATAGGTTATGCATTAAATAAGCACTAGTAAACCTGCAGTAGATATTATTAACTATTGTTGATAGTTAATTAATAGTTGAAATCTGAACAGCTCAAGTATTACAATGGCAAACATTTGTTACCACTAACAATGGAATAGTGATTAACAGCAAAACACTAATTAATGCATGATTACTAGTGAAATCAAGAACAATACTAGTCACTATTTGATTACTGATGCATATTTATAGGTACCATTTAGTTTAATAAATGTCAAACCTTTTCCAAGCTTGCCATAGCTGTGTGCCTCTGTATAAAGCATTTTCTGTACAGTGTAGATGTGTTCAAAGTGTTTTTTACAGCTACTTTTTGTAGATACCTGTGTAGTTTTATGAATATTTCAGTGGTTTAGCAAAATGGAGCCTGTTTAATATTTATTATGATTTTTATTTTTTTTACTTTTTACTTCTCCTGATATGCCTTAAAGGGTTTACAATTCTTGCTGATGCTGGGGAACTGGAGAGGAAATAGTGCAGCTTTTCATATCTTAAGGGTAGTGTTTTGATTTTATATATATATAGCACTTTTTTTTACATTAAACATATTTTCTATATCTGTCTTGAGCCACATTTAGCCTTTAACTTCATAACAGCAAATAAATCACAGAATGTAAGAATCAAAACAGACTTTCAACTGAAAAAAATAAAATGAATCATTTTTCATTTTATGAGCCTATCAAATCGGCTGATGTAATAGGAGAGTAAATCAGATATAAAACCATCATTCACACGCAGCTGAAGTACAGTACATCTGTTTGTTCTGAGCCGGCCCTGCTGTTTCATCTGCAGTGTTTGAATTGGTTTGCTATCAAACCATGATATTTTGGGTTTGATTTAGTACGGGATGTCAGCCCTATGAGGAATGATCCAGAGTCTCAGCCAGATACAGTTCGAGACTGTGCTAAATGATGGATGAATGTAGACGATGATCTTTTCCATCATCCATCCA